ACATATATAAAAGATAATCCATTTTATGTTATATATATTAATATAAAAATTCAACAATCCCATATATATAAAAAAAGAAAAAAAAATATGCCAAAAATGCAGGTGCATATAAATACGAGTAAACATAAAATGCATTGACAATTGCACACCCATATGTAAAATCTAAAAGAAATAGGAAGAGATAGATAACAAATGTCTACCTTGCACGGATACTCGTAGATGGGGGTGGGTAGAAGAGTAAGAAGAGCCAGAGAGGGAGGAGGTAGAGGGTTGAAAAGAAGAAAAAAAAAGAAAAAGGAAAGCAATAGTAATTCGCGATTGAATTTTTCATTCGTATATCATAGGTTACGGTTTTAGTGGTGGCTCTTGAAGTCCATCATTTTTCCACTGGCAACAACCAACCACCATCACCAGCACGCACCCATACAACACCCACCCACACACACACACACACATACACACACATCGCGTATTCTCAAAGTTTCATATGGGATTTTTAGAGTGGCGGCAGTGATAGTATTGAATATTATGTATTATGGGGTTGTTGTTCTCTGTTTCTCCCGTAACCCTCGAACAACGTTATTACCTACGACGATGCGCGAAAGCTCGCTTCGTCGATTAGGTTTTCATGCGAGAAAAGTACTGACATTAAATCATACGCCACCCCTCTTCTTCTTCTTCTTCTTTTTTTTTCTTTTTTTTTTTTCTCGTCATTCCGTATTCCCTTGAATAGAATGAAACGAAAAAAAGAGAGATAGAGAGAAGGAGAGAAACGAAATGTAAAATTTTGTGGTTACTACCTTTACGTGACAGTAAAGAGTGGGTGGGGTCGAGAAAAAAAAAAGAAACGGAAACGAACGAATGAATTTTTTAAAGATCGAACATACGAGTGAACAAACTCGATGAATGTTACCGCTAATCGATCATGATTTTGAAATTCTTTTATTTAAATATTTTGTTTTTTTTATTTGTACGATTATTTATTTGCATCAGGGTTTGTTTTCAGTGACACGTTTATATTCGATTTGGATTTGTAATACGATCATAATTGAAATTGAAAATTGAAATTGTTTTATTGAATTTTGTTCTTATTCTGTTTTGTTTTGATTTTCATGTGTTTTGAGTGATACGTGTTTAAGTTCGATTTGGTTGGACGCTCACGATTTAAAAAAAAAAAAGGAAAAAGCAAAATCGTGGCAAAAGTTTCTGACCGTCGGTTACTTCCAAGGGTGAAAAAAGGGGTTGGTGGCTTGTAAAAGACACGAAGGAACGAACAGGGGGTGGGTAACAAACTAAAAGAATTGTCAGTGCGCTTTTTTACCTTCATTGGAAATTATACTTTGCTAGTTAATTATAGGATTACCTTTTATATTCATCGATTTACAATGTCGAACCAACTTTTCTATCAATTTCAACTTGCCCTTTTTGTTTCTTTTCACTTCGAAACATAATATAATCTTTTCGTATAGTTCAAAATCATTCTGTTAAAGATACAATAGAATAATGAATTATTTGTAAATTAAATCCTATTTCCTATTATTCGGTAAAGTATTTTAATATTTATATGAAAGAGAAAAATATTTTATCAATCGTAAAGTATAAATTCAATTATTTAATAATCAATCAATACATTAATCATAAAATGAATAATAATAATAATAATAATAAAATTCAATTCCCCTTTCCCCTAAAACATTTGATTTAACATAAAAGTGAAATAAAGTTTCCATACGAAATTAGAAATTAAGAATAAAAAAGAAATAATAATTGAAGATGATAAAAAGAATCTAATTATAATATTTATATGAAAGAAAAATATTTTATCAATCAACACATTAATCATAAAATGAATAATAATAATAATAATAAAATTCAATTCCCCTTNAATTATAATATTTATATGAAAGAAAAATATTTTATCAATCAACACATTAATCATAAAATGAATAATAATAATAATAATAAAATTCAATTCCCCTTTCCCCTAAAACATTTGATTTAACATAAAAGTGCAATAAAGTTTCCATAAGAAATTAGAAACCAAGAATAAAAAAGAAATAATAATTGAAGATAATAAAAAGAATCTAATTCTAATATTTATATGAAAGAAAAACATTTTATCAATCGTAAAGAGTAAAACCAATTATTTAATAATCAATCAACACATTAATCATAAAATGAATAATAATAAAAAGAATAAAATTCAATCCCCCCTTTCCCCTAAAACATTTGATTTAACATAAAAGTGCAATAAAGTTTCCATACGAAATTACAAATCAAAAATAAAAAAGAAATAATAATTGAAGATAATAAAAAGAAAGAACAGGTGAAAAATGAGAATGATTAGTATGACGTCATCGTACATCCTAAATAAAAAAAAAAATAATAAAAAAAGAAGAACCATATATCGTTTTCCGGGCCATCAGGTGTGTTTAAATAACGTAGGCGTTACTGAAGCATGGGAATTTTCTGACATGTGTTACCAGAGAGTCATATCGATACGTGTTATCGATGTTTATTCTCTTTCTGTGTTTCTCAACGTTACGTAAGTGTACACGCACACACACACATACACATATATATACAAATACAGTTACTATGCTGTGCATCATAAGTTTAGGGTGCGAGACTACGTTCATTCGTCATCTGCGAGTTTTGTTTAATTTTACAACCCCCCACCACCACCCCACCCCCACTCTTGCACCTAACCCTGCATCATTCCTTTTAACTATCACGAAGTTTCATTTTGAATATGTTGATAAAAAAGAAAAATTCTATGCAATATTCATATACACGTGCAATAATCATTTCATGTGTATTAATGATTGTTTTTTTTTGTTTTTTTTTTTCTGTTATTCGTTTTCTCATTCGTTCGTTCAAAAATGGTTCTCACCGATATGGACACATTAGTCAGATGTTTTTGAATTTTTTTTTCAATGCTTAGAATACATTTATGGTTAGACTAACCATAAGATAGATAATATAGTTGTTCGGGTTCGTGAAAATTTAGGAACACCTGGGAAAGGTTTCTTTCTTTTCTTTTTTTTTTTTTTCCTTTTTCTAAACGGTAGTAGTAGGCAGCTCATTGTTCAATTTCTTAGGAATTTTTCTTTTCTTTTTTTTTTCTTTTTTTTTTTTCGTTTACGGTTAACTTGTAAATTTGTTCGACGAGAGTAATAAAAATTTGTCTACGATAATACTTTTCGAAAAGAGAAAAGAAAAGAAAAGAGAAAAAAAAAGAAACGGCAAAAGAAAAGTTAATATTTGTCATATGGATTCGTTGAAGTAATATTTAAATCATTTGTATAAATTGATGTTTCATTTTAAAATATAAAAAAAAAAAAAAACACACACACAATCATTTATATTAAAAAAAAAAATTATAATATAATAATTAATCGATTTCTCACAACGTGAATCATTAATTTTGTTATTAACAATAACGCTGGTTTATTTAGATATTAATTCATTATCATAAATAATAATTGTGTAATAAATAATAAATTATTGCATATATTTAAAAAAGAAAAATTAGAAATGAATCATGGTAATTTAAAAAAAAAAAATCTCATCAACCAACGGAGATTCGTGAGCAACGTCATTGACGGGCTATGGTGGTGGTGATCGGTGATGCATGGCAACCTGTTAGCACGACGCCACCACCCACCCACACCCTGATTCCCATTCGCATCTAGGAAACAATTTCACCATCTGTCATTATTTTCTCATGGTAGAACACCGTCGGAGGGATGATCATGATCATGATGATGATGAACTACTACTACTACTCGGTGAATATCGTTTAAATGTCTCTACGAAATTTTAAATGCCACACATGCTTTTTATTTCACACGAGATAAACACATGAATAATATATACCTGCTGTCCCGAAAAGAAAATTCAATAAAAAAAAATATATTTGAATTATTTCGATCATCTATATATCATGTTTAACCAGTTAAGTGTGTGTTGACGACTATATCCGTCATGGAATAATGGCAGAATTTTGTGTTTAGCCGGCTATATCCGTCATGCGTAAAAATGTTCATACAATTTGATATTTAAATAGTAATTCTGGCGAAAACTAAATTAGATCTCGTCAATTTGAATATGTTTAGAATGTTTATGGGGATCAGGACGAAGTGAAATAAACAAATGAAAATTATAGATAATTTGAGTTGGACACTAGAGCTTTGATTATCCCGATTTTAATCTTGACGTGTCATAACCAAAAAAACAAAGTATATTAGATTCTCCATCTGCGATGATGTCCTGGATGTCTAACCAAAGAAAAAAAAAGAAATTTTGTTTGTTTGTTAAATATTTGATTTTTTTTTTAAGTTTTTCGTTAATTATGTGTAAATATAGCTTTACGTTGATCCATTGTTTAAATATTATTTATAAATTCATTCATTTTCTAAAATAAAGTCGTCTTTTTGACCGAATATTTCAACAGCGCCACTTACTCAGTGTTTGACGACTATATCCGTCATTGTTTGATTATCGCGACACACACTGGGGCGCACTTTGCAAAATGATCGACACAGTTAACTGGTTAAATAACAAAATGATAATTTTTTACCCTTTCTCAGTTTTATAAATAATTTTTATATATATATTTATACTTATTAATTAAAGAATCTTAAAAACTTCATGAGAAGGTATCACAGGGAACTTGGACATAAAAAAGAAGTAGAACTTAATTTAATTATTTTAATTAATTAATTTATTGGGACTTCTTCAGCAACTTAATTTTTATAGTTCAGCGTATTTTTTCTCATTGAGTAGAAATACATTTATATTTTTATTTTTAATATTCAAAACACAAAACATCTTAACTTCGTTAAGTATTAGTCTGTTATAATTTGAAATAATTGTTTGTAAACAATCTGACACTGTTTGAAACAGTTTTGTTGAGTGTTCGAATTATAACGGATTAATACTTAACGAAGTTTAGATGTTTTGTGTTTTGAATATTAATATTAAAAATAAAAATATAAATGTATCCCTACTCACAATGAAACAAGATGCTGAATTATAAAGATTAAGTTGCTGAAGAAGTTCCAATAAAGGAACGAAACGTCCAACTTAGTTAAATTAAGTTCTACTTCTATTTTTATGTCCAAGTTCCCTGTGATACCTTCTCATCAAGAGAAACAACTGATTAAATCTTAAAAACATTGAACAAATAGTCTCACAAAAAATATTTATGATTTATCTGATATTAAAATTATTTATATTGTTGAATATGAATCATCGAATAGAATTTATATAATTTTTTTTTTAACTTAAGTTACTATATATATATCATAATTGTATGCACACGTGTGAGGATTATTGTTTGTAATAAATAATTTCTCTTTTTTTCTATTCTTTTTGATTTTTAGTTCGAACAAATACTACCGATCGAAAGGATGATGAATAGAAATGAAAAAAATCCTTTTTGAAAAATCTTTCATCCTAAATAAACAACAATTATTGTAAGCTATTGTTAGATTACAATTTATATTAGTGAAAGGAATATTCTGTTAATATGTGTATATTAGGACAAATAATAGAAAAATAAATTCTGATTGAAAGTAATAAAAGGTTGGTATGAAAAGTCAATAAGTTGGAAGGATTACAAGGATAATAAAACGTACTCGAACAATTGGCGAGTAACAACGCTTAGATTTGTCGATTTCTGATCTTGTATATTATTTTTGATATTTATTTTTCCTTAGATTTTTTAAGTTAGTATCGGGGGATTAGTTTTTATACGAAATCGAGAAGAATCTGTTAAAAATAGGATCAGGTAAAACGTTGGTCGGGTTTGTACGGTCAAATAATTTCGAAATGAAAAGAAGAAGAAAAAGGATCATAAATAATAACGGAAAAAAATTATTTGGAAATTTTCCTTTTAACTAATAAAAATGAAACAACGATTTCCCCCTTTGCATACAGAGTAGTATTTGTATAAGAAAAATTTGGAAAAATCTTTTTTTTTTGAGAAAGGACCATCACGTTCGAATAAATAAGAAACCTTTAAATTGTCCATTGTTCCATTTCAATCTTTTCAATGCTTCCAATATTTCCTATATATCTTTCTTCTACAAATATTAAACATTGTTGCCAACCTTGGAACAATATGAAACGTAAAAAATTACGAATTTAACACGTTCCAATTTTATTATCCAACTTTGTGACAACACTTTCCGAAGGATTTAAAGTTTACTGGGAATTCGTATGGGACTCGTATGGGACACTCGTACGATACGTAAGTATACGCAACGTTTGACAAATTACTTCAAACCTTTTTGTTGATAAAACAAAAATTCATTCATTATTATAATTACGTGTAATACAATAAACTATATTAAATATTAATAATTAATAACATTGGAAAATATCAATTGAAAAAACAAATGAAATAGTTAATCCCTTGTTTTCGATATTACCAAATAAACAATTAAAAAAGAATAAAAAAAAGCACAGAGAAAAAAATCTTACTAGATGATGCTGGTGGTAACTTTGGTTGGCCGACAGGAATGTGAACTTGATCGGGATTCTGCATATTATATTTATTCTTCCCGTCTCGTCAACGATGTCCCGTTGTTTGTATAAATCTCACATATAAAAATCAATGGAAACTTGATAGATCACAATAATTTCCGTCCAAACGTGTCATAACATCATAAAGACTTGTTTCATTCGTTCGTTTGTGTTTATCACTGTGTACCAGAATACCAAAATGTTGTTTTCTTTTAAGGAAAATCCTAAATCACGATACTGACGCAATACAATGAAAATTATAACTATTCAACATATTTATATATATATTTAATATCAAATATTTTTTATTTAAAACTATGAACATTTAGGATTAATAAAACCATAAAAAGACGAAAATGTGCACAATGGGGGGACTTATATCTGACAACCGACAAACACTGACTGAAGATCATCCAAGAAAGGACTTTTTGATGCCATCTATCGTCTCGGGCACGTTTCCAAAGTCCTATAGTAGCAGATCAAATGTTCATTGGTCGAGAACTATCCCTACCCTAGGATAAGGGCGTTACTTTTCAATAGGAACCGGCTGCTTCCTTTTCCCTCTTGTCACAGGGGTTGTGCACAATCCCGTGCATGCACACGAGAAGGGAGTGGAGGAAGTAATGCTTTTGTAATAAAATACGAAGGACTTACACCTCATTGGTTGAAAGCATAAGATCAGATTAATTCGGGGGGGGGGGGGGGGGGGGGGGGA